ATCTGGCCAAGGACAAAATGGACTTGTGTGTTCAAATGGTCTTCAGTGAAAAGTTCACCACAGCATTCAACACAATCATTCCTCGCACCTGATCAGCGATTGAGCGAGGAAGGCCAGTCAGAGCCTGTAGACATCCCTCTGAAACTGGAAGCTAGACTTCCTGACTAGGAGCATTCACAGCATTCAACACAATCATTCCTTAGCACCTGATTGAAAAGGTGACCCAGTCAGAGCCTGTAGACATCCCTCTGAAACTGGACGCTAGACTTCCTGACTAGGAGACCTCAGTCAGTCTGGATCGGGATCAGCAGCTCCAGCCAGAGCAAATTCTACGTAATCTGAAAACAAAACCCATGCCCTGTGTGAGGATTACACCGACTTCAGATTATGAGACTGACGCTACCTACTGCGCTAACAAGGCTGAAAACATGATCTCAAAGAGAAATAAAAAAAAGCTTGTGTGTAACCAGAATGTATAGAACATATAATGACGGGATATAATCAGTACAAATTTGTAACCAGTTCCAACGTTCCCCCAGCTCACCAGATAACCCAATCGCCACCACACTCCAACTGGCCATGAGCAAGAAGGACTTGTGTGTTCAAATGATCTTCAGTGAAAAGTTCACCACAGCATTCAACACAATCATTCCTCAGCACCTGATTGAAGAAGGCGAAACCGTCCGTCAGAGCCTGTAGACATCCCTCTGAAACTGGAAGCTAGACTTCCTGACTAGGAGACCTCACTCAGTCTGGGTCAGGAGCAGCACCGCCAGCAGCTCCAGCCGGAGCATATCCTACTTAATCTGAAAAACAAACCCATGCTCTGTGTGAGGATTGAACTCACAACCTTCAGATTATGAGACTGACACGCTACCTACTGCACTAACGAGGCTGAAAACATGACCTCTAAGAGAAATAAAAAAAAAAAGCATGTGTGTAACCAGAATGTATAAAAGATATAATGACGGGATATGATCAGTACAAAAATCTGTATCCAAGTTCCACGAGCTCAACAGATAACCCAATCGCCACCACCCTCCATCTGGCCAAGGACAAAATGGACACGTGCGTTCAAATGGTCTTCAGTGAAAAGTTCACCACAGCATTCAACACAATCATTCCTTAGCACCTGATTGAAAAGGCGAACCAGTCAGAGCCTGTAGACATCCCTCTGAAACTGGACGCTAGACTTCCTGACTAGGAGCATTCACAGCATTCAACACAATCATTCCTTAGCACCTGATTGAAAAGGTGACCCAGTCAGAGCCTGTAGACATCCCTCTGAAACTGGACGCTAGACTTCCTGACTAGGAGACCTCAGTCAGTCTGGATCGGGATCAGCAGCTCCAGCCAGAGCAAATTCTACGTAATCTGAAAACAAAACCCATGCCCTGGGTTTTGTTTTAAAAAAAAAAAAGCATGTGTGTAACCAGAATGTATAAAACATATAATGACGGGATATAATCAGTACAAAAATCTGTATCCAAGTTCCAGGAGCTCAACAGATAACCCAATCGCCACCACACTCCAACTGGCCATGAGCAAGAACGACTTGTGTGTTCAAATGATCTTCAGTGAAAAGTTCACCACAGCATTCAACACAATCATTCCTCAGCACCTGATTGAAAAGGCGAACCAGTCAGAGCTTGTAGACATCCCTCTGAAACTGGACGCTAGACTTCCTGACTAGGAGACCTCACTCAGTCTGGATCAGGAGCAGCACCTCCAGCCAGAGCAAATTCTACGTAATCTGAAAACAAAACCCATGCCCTGTGTGAGGATTGAACTCATGACCTTCAGATTATGAGACTGACACGCTACCTACTGCGCTAACAAGGCTGAAAACATGATCTCTAAGAGAAATTAAAAAAAAGCTTGTGTTTAACCAGAATGTATACAAAATATAATGACGGGATATAATCAGTACAAAAATCTGTATCCAAGTTCCACGAGCTCAAAAGATAACCAAATCGCCACCACCCTCCATCTGGCCATGAGCAAGAAGGACATGTGCGTTCAAATGGTTTTCAGTGAAAAGTTCACCACAGAATACAACACAATCATTCCTTAGCACCTGATTGAAAAGGCGAACCAGTCAGAGCCTGTAGACATCCCTTGAACTCACGACCTTCAGATTATGAGACTGACACGCTACCTACTGCTCTAACAAGGCTGAAAACATGACCTTTAAGAGAAATAAAAAAAAAAGCTTGTGTGTAACCAGAATGTATAGAACATATAATGACGGGATATAATCAGTACAAAAATCTGTATCCAAGTTCCACAAGCTCAACAGATAACCCAATCGCCACCACCCTCCATCTGGCCAAGGACAAAATGGACTTGTGTGTTCAAATGGTCTTCAGTGAAAAGTTCACCACAGCATTCAACACAATCATTCCTCAGCACCTGATTGAAAAGGCGAACCAGTCAGAGCCTGTAGACATCCCTCTGAAACTGGAAGCTAGACTTCCTGACTAGGAGCATTCACAGCATTCAACACAATCATTCCTTAGCACCTGATTGAAAAGGTGACCCAGTCAGAGCCTGTAGACATCCCTCTGAAACTGGACGCTAGACTTCCTGACTAGGAGACCTCAGTCAGTCTGGATCGGGATCAGCAGCTCCAGCCAGAGCAAATTCTACGTAATCTGAAAACAAAACCCATGCCCTGTGTGAGGATTGAACTCACGACCTTCAGATTATGAGACTGACGCGCTACCTACTGCGCTAACAAGGCTGAAAACATGATCTCTAAGAGAAATAAAAAAAAAGCTTGTGTGTAACCAGAATGTATAGAACATATAATGACGGGATATAATCAGTACAAAAATTTGTATCCAAGTTCCACGAGCTCAACAGATAACCCAATCGCCACCACACTCCAACTGGCCATGAGCAAGAAGGACTTGTGTGTTCAAATGATCTTCAGTGAAAAGTTCACCACAGCATTCAACACAATCATTCCTCAGCACCTGATTGAAAAGGCGAACCAGTCAGAGCCTGTAGACATCCCTCTGAAACTGGAAGCTAGACTTCCTGACTAGGAGACCTCACTCAGTCTGGGTCAGGAGCAGCACCTCCAGCAGCTCCAGCCAGAGCATATCCTACTTAATCTGAAAACAAAACCCATGCCCTGTGTGAGGATTGAACTCACAACCTTCAGATTATGAGACTGACACGCTACCTACTGCGCTAACGAGGCTGAAAACATGACCTCTAAGAGAAATAAAAAAAAAGCATGTGTGTAACCAGAATGTATAAAAGATATAATGACGGGATATGATCAGTACAAAAATCTGTATCCAAGTTCCACGAGCTCAACAGATAACCCAATCGCCACCACCCTCCATCTGGCCAAGGACAAAATGGACACGTGCGTTCAAATGGTCTTCAGTGAAAAGTTCACCACAGCATTCAACACAATCATTCCTTAGCACCTGATTGAAAAGGCGAACCAGTCAGAGCCTGTAGACATCCCTCTGAAACTGGACGCTAGACTTCCTGACTAGGAGCATTCACAGCATTCAACACAATCATTCCTTAGCACCTGATTGAAAAGGTGACCCAGTCAGAGCCTGTAGACATCCCTCTGAAACTGGACGCTAGACTTCCTGACTAGGAGACCTCAGTCAGTCTGGATCGGGATCAGCAGCTCCAGCCAGAGCAAATTCTACGTAATCTGAAAACAAAACCCATGCCCTGGGTTTTGTTTTAAAAAAAAAAAAGCATGTGTGTTACCAGAACGTATAAAACATATAATGACGGGATATAATCAGTACAAAAATCTGTATCCAAGTTCCAGGAGCTCAACAGATAACCCAATCGCCACCACACTCCAACTTGCCATGAGCAAGAAGGACTTGTGTGTTCAATTGATCTTCAGTGAAAAGTTCACCACAGCATTCAACACAATCATTCCTCAGCACCTGATTGAAAAGGCGAACCAGTCAGAGCTTGTAGACATCCCTCTGAAACTGGACGCTAGACTTCCTGACTAGGAGACCTCACTCAGTCTGGATCAGGAGCAGCACCTACAGCACCTCCAGCCAGAGCAAATTCTACGTAATCTGAAAACAAAACCGATGCACTGTGTGAGGATTGAACTCACAAACTTCAGATTATGAGACTGACACGCTACCTACTGCGCTAACAAGGCTGAAAACATGACCTCTAAGAGAAATAAAAAAAAAGCATGTGTTTAACCAGAATGTATAGAACATATAATGACGGCATATAATCAGAAAAAAAAATCTGTATCCAAGTTCCAAGAGCTCAACAGAAGCCACAATCGCCACCACACTCCATCTGGCCAAGGACAAAATGGACACGTGCGTTCAAATGGTCTTTAGTGAAAAGTTCACCACAGCATTCAACACAATCATTCCTTAGCACCTGATTGAAAAGGCGACCCAGTCAGAGCCTGTAGACATCCCTCTGAAACTAGACGCTAGACTTCCTGACTAGGAGACCTCACTCAGTCTGGATCGGGATCAGCACCTCCAGCCAGAGCAAATTCAACGTAATCTGAAAACAAAACCCATGCCCTGTGTGAGGATTGAACTCACGACCTTGAGATTATGAGACTGACGCACTACCTAATGCGCTAAAAAGGCTGAAAACACAACCTCCAAGAGAAACAAAAAAAGCATGTGTGTAACCAGAATGTATAGAAGATATAATGACGGGATATAATCAGTACAAAAATCTGTATCCAAGTTCCACGAGCTCAACAGATAACCCAATCGCCACCACCCTCCATCTGGCCATGAGCAAGAAGGACATGTGCGTTCAAATGGTCTTCAGTGAAAAGTTCACCAAAGAATACAACACAATCATTCCTCAGCACCTGATTGAAAAGGTGACCCACTCAGAGCCTGTAGACAGCCCTCTGAAACTGGACGCTAGACATCCTGACTAGGAGACCTCAGTAAGTCTGGATCAGGAGCAGCACCTCCAGCCAGAGCAAATTCTACGTAATCTGAAAACAAAACCCATGCGCTGTGTGTAGGATTTAACTCACAACCTTCAGATTATGAGACTGACACGATACCTACTGCGCTAACAAGGCTGAAAACATGATCTTTAAGAGAAATAAAAAAAGCATGTGTCTAACCAGAATGTATAGAACATATAATGACGGGATATAATCTGTACAAAAATCTGTATCCAAGTTCCACGAGCTCAACAGAAGCCACAATTGCCACCACCCTCCATCTGGCCAAGGACAAAATGGACTTGTGTGTTCAAATGGTCTTCAGTGAAAAGTTCACCACAGCATTCAACACAATCATTCCTTAGCACCTGATTGAAAAGGTGATCCAGTCAGAGCCTGTAGACATCCCTCTGAAACTGGACGCTAGACTTCCTGACTAGGAGACCTCAGTCAGTCGTTGGGATCGGGAGCAGCGCTCCAGCCAGAGCAAATTTACGGCATCTGAAAACAAAACCCTAGCCCTGGTTTTGTTTTCAAAAAAAACGTATGTGTAACCAGAACGTATAAAACATATAATGACGGGATATAATCAGTACAAAAATCTGTATCCAAGTTCCACGAGCTCAACAGGTAACCCATTCGCCACCACCCTCCATCTGGCCAAGGACAAAATGGACACGTATGCTCAAATGGTCTTCAGTGAAAAGTTCACCACAGCATTCAACACAATCATTCCTTAGCATCTGATTGAAAAGGCGACCCAGAGCGCAGATAGACATCTTTCTGAAACTAGACGCTAGACTTCCTGACTAGGAGACCTCACTCAGTCTGGTAGGGATCAGCACCTCCAGCCAGAGCAAATTCAACGTAATCTGAAAACAAAACCCATGCCCTGTGTGAGGATTGAACTCACGACCTTGAGATTATGAGACTGACGCACTACCTACCGCGCAAAAGGCTGAAAACACAACCTCCAAGAGAAACAAAAAAAGCATGTGTGTAACCAGAATGTATAGAAGATATAATGACGGGATATAATCAGTACAAAAATCTGTATCCAAGTTCCACGAGCTCAACAGCTAACCCAATCGCCACCACCCTCCATCTGGCCATGAGCAAGAAGGAGACGTATGCGTTCAAATGGTCTTCAGTGAAAAGTTCACCAAAGAATACAACACAATCATTCCTCAGCACCTGATTGAAAAGGTACCCATTCAGAGCCTGTAGACAGCCCTCTGAAACTGGACGCTAGACATCCTGACTAGGAGACCTCAGTAAGTCTGGATCAGGAGCAGCACCTCCAGCCAGAGCAAAATCTACGTAATCTGAAAACAAAACCCATGCGCTGTGTGAGGATTGAACTCACAACCTTCAGATTATGAGACTGACACGATACCTACTGCACTAACAAGGCTGAAACCATGATCTTTAAGAGAAATAAAAAAAAGCATGTGTATAACCAGAATGTATACAACATATAATGACGGGATATAATCTGTACAAAAATCTGTATCCAAGTTCCACGAGCTCAACAGAAGCCACAATCGCCACCACACTCCATCTGGCCAAGGACAAAATGGACATGTGCGTTCAAATGGTCTTCAGTGAAAAGTTCACCACAGCATTCAACACAATCATTCCTCAGCACCTGATTGAAAAGGTGACCCAGTCAGAGCCTGTAGACAACCCTCTGAAAATGGACGCTAGACTTCCTGACTAGGAGACCTCACTCAGTCTGGATCAGGAGCAGCACCTCCAGCAGCTCCAGCCAGAGCATATCCTACTTAATCTGAAAAAAAAAACCCATGCCCTGTGTGAGGATTGAACTCACGACCTTCAGATTATGAGATTGACGCGCTACCTACTGCACTAACAAGGCTGAAAACAGCACCTCCAAGAGAAACAAAACAAAAGCATGTGTGTAACCAGAACGTATAAAACATATAATGACGGGATATAATCAGTACAAAAGTCTGTATCCAAGTTCCAGGAGCTCAACAGATAACCCAATCGCCACCACCCTGACTAGGAGACCTCACTCAGTCTGGGTCAGGAGCAGCACCTCCAGCAGCTCCAGCCAGAGCATATCCTACTTAATCTGAAAACAAAACCCATGCCCTGTGTGAGGATTGAACTCACGACCTTCAAATTATGAGATTGACGCGCTACCTACTACGCTAACAAGGCTGGGAGCACAACCTCCAAGAGAAACAAAAAAAAGCATGTGTGTAACCAGAACGTATAAAACATATAATGACAAGGCTGAAAACATCATCTTTAAGAGAAAAAAAAAAGCATGTGTGTCACCAGAATGTATAGAACATATAATGACGGGATATAATCCGTACAAAAAAATCTGTATCCAAGTTCCACGAGCTCAACAGATAACACAATCGCCACCACCGTCCATCTGGCCAAGGACAAAATGGACTTGTGTATTCAAATTGTCTTCAGTGAAAGGTTCACCACAGCATTCAACACAATCATTCCTTAGCACCTGATTGAAAAGGTCACCCAGTCAGAGCCTGTAGACATCCCTCTGAAACTGGACGCTAGACTTCCTGACTAGGAGACCTCACTCAGTCTGGATCAGCACCTCCAGCAGCTCCAGCCACAGCATATCCTACTTAATCTGAAAACAAAACCCATGCCCTGTGTGAGGATTGAACTCACGACCTTCAGATTATGAGACTGACACACTACCTACTGCGCTAACAAGGCTGAAAACACGATCTCCAAGAGAAACAAAAAAAAGCATGTGTGTAACCAGAACGTATAAAACATATAATGACGGGATATAATCAGTACAAAAGTCTGTATCCAAGTTCCAGGAGACACCCTCCATCTGGCACCTGATTGAAAAGGTACAAAAGTACAAAAGTCTGTATCCAAGTTCCAGGAGCTCAACAGATAACCCAATCGCCACCACCCTGACTGGAGGCCTCACTCAGTCTGGGTCAGGAGCAGCACCTCCGCAGCTCCAGCCAGAGCATATCCTACTTAATCTGAAAACAAAACCCATGCCCTGTGTGAGGATTGAACTCACGACCTTCAGATTATAAGACTGACCTGCTAACAATACGTAACTTCAAACATAATAATGACGGGATATAATCAGTACAAAAATCTGTATCCAAGTTCCACGAGCTCAACAGATAACCCAATCGCCACCACACTCCACTGGCCATGAGCAAGAAGGACTTGTGTGTTCAAATGATCTTCAGTGAAAAGTTCACCACAGCATTCAACACAATCATTCCTCAGCACCTGATTGAAAAGGCGAACCAGTCAGAGCTTGTAGACATCCCTCTGAAACTGGACGCTAGACTTCCTGACTAGGAGACCTCACTCAGTCTGGATCAGGAGCAGCACCTACAGCCAGAGCAAATTCTACGTAATCTGAAAACAAAACCCATGCGCTGTGTGAGGATTTAACTCACGACCTTCAGATTATGAGACTGACACGATACCTACTGCACTAACAAGGCTGAAAACATGATCTTTAAGAGAAATAAAAAAAAGCATGTGTATAACCAGAATGTATACAACATATAATGACGGGATATAATCTGTACAAAAATCTGTATCCAAGTTCCACGAGCTCAACAGAAGCCACAATCGCCACCACACTCCATCTGGCCAAGGAAATGGACGTAATGCGTTCAAATGGTCTTCAGTGAAAAGTTCACCACAGCATTCAACACAATCATTCCTCAGCACCTGATTGAAAAGGTGACCCAGTCAGAGCCTGTAGACAACCCTCTGAAAATGGACGCTAGACTTCCTGACTAGGAGACCTCACTCAGTCTGGATCAGGAGCAGCACCTCCAGCAGCTCCAGCCAGAGCATATCCTACTTAATCTGAAAACAAAACCCATGCCCTGTGTGAGGATTGAACTCACGACCTTCAGATTATGAGATTGACGCGCTACCTACTGCGCTAACAAGGCTGAAAACAGCACCTCCAAGAGAAACAAAACAAAAGCATGTGTGTAACCAGAACGTATAAAACATATAATGACGGGATATAATCAGTACAAAAGTCTGTATCCAAGTTCCAGGAGCTCAACAGATAACCCAATCGCCACCACCCTGACTAGGAGACCTCACTCAGTCTGGGTCAGGAGGCGCACCTCCAGCAGCTCCAACCAGAGCATATCCTACTTAATCTGAAAACAAAACCCATGCCCTGTGTGAGGATTGAACTCACGACCTTCAAATTATGAGATTGACGCGCTACCTACTACGCTAACAAGGCTGGGAGCACAACCTCCAAGAGAAACAAAAAAAAGCATGTGTGTAACCAGAACGTATAAAACATATAATGACAAGGCTGAAAACATCATCTTTAAGAGAAATAAAAAAAAGCATGTGTGTCACCAGAATGTATAGAACATATAATGACGGGATATAATCCGTACAAAAATCTGTATCCAAGTTCCACGAGCTCAACAGATAACACAATCGCCACCACCGTCCATCTGGCCAAGGACAAAATGGACTTGTGTATTCAAATTGTCTTCAGTGAAAGGTTCACCACAGCATTCAACACAATCATTCCTTAGCACCTGATTGAAAAGGTCACCCAGTCAGAGCCTGTAGACATCCCTCTGAAACTGGACGCTAGACTTCCTGACTAGGAGACCTCACTCAGTCTGGATCAGCACCTCCAGCAGCTCCAGCCACAGCATATCCTACTTAATCTGAAAACAAAACCCATGCCCTGTGTGAGGATTGAACTCACGACTTTCAGATTATGAGACTGACACACTACCTACTGCGCTAACAAGGCTGAAAACACGATCTCCAAGAGAAACAAAAAAAGCATGTGTGTAACCAGAACGTATAAAACATATAATGACGGGATATAATCAGTACAAAAGTCTGTATCCAAGTTCCAGGAGACACCCTCCATCTGGCACCTGATTGAAAAGGTACAAAAGTACAAAAGTCTGTATCCAAGTTCCAGGAGCTCAACAGATAACCCAATCGCCACCACCCTGACTAGGAGACCTCACTCAGTCTGGGTCAGGAGCAGCACCTCCAGCAGCTCCAGCCAGAGCATATCCTACTTAATCTGAAAACAAAACCCATGCCCTGTGTGAGGATTGAACTCACGACCTTCAGATTATAAG